TCAACAATATGATTATTAAATGGTTCGAAGCAGTTAATATATTTCTTATCCTTAATAAACTGTTGATATTTGGCAGTATTGCCTGCAACAAAATTAAAATTTGTTCATTTCTATAAATAAATGGAACACGTATGACTATTTGAAGGTTGGTGTTCCTTGATAATATAAATTGAATATACATATAATTCTCTATCTTCACATATTATATTGTACGAATAAATAATACCCAGAAATACCTACTGCCATTAAAAGTGACATTTTACGAAAGAAATATCGGTCAGTGGGACATTTATCTTAATGAAAAATACATTAACGCTGCTTCTCCCTTCGTAGAATACAATTGGATAATCGATCAACGGACCAATTTTCGATTTTTCATTTGCACGTATGATTTTACGATTCGCGTTTGTTTCTCCGATCGTTAGTGCCACGCGTATAAATCGATTCGTGCTGCTCCCTTGTTTCGTCTGCACTCCACATTCCAAGTCTATCGATTCCGTAGACGCCTATTTGTACTTGCAGCGTGTCGGCGGCGGTAACATTACAATCTTCTCGAGATATGTCATTGCATTCGATCGCAGAGAGGCACTGTGGCAGGCTTGTTGTTCGAGAGTGCTCGAGAATCTCGTCTAATCGACGTCAGCTCTGTTCGCGTGGTACGTTCGAATCGGTACATTTGAAACGGATAAATCCGTGGCGCGTCAAACGAAAACAGTCGGTGATTTCGATTTAACTGGCAGAAACGCACCGGTACGTACGGTCGCGCATCACGACAAAGATGTAATAGGAACAAAATAATGAAAAAACATACACTTTGTGAAAAACAACGGGGGAAGTAAAAGACTTGGCGATGGAGAGAGGGGTCCCTGGTGTCAGTCTTGTCTTACGCTGTGACGCCTCTTCTGTTTTCATTAAAAGCTTCACTCCGTCTCTCTCTCTCGCTCTTCTTTCTCGTCCCTTTTTCTTTCGTCGTATAATATTACTTTTTCTTTTGAAAGTTGAAATGGGACGAACGCCGTCTAAGAGACTCAATTCCTTGCTATGTTTCATGCGACTTTCAAAGCAACAAGATGTGAGTTATTTCGATGAATAATCGTCATCTCCGAGGTACTCGCCTCGTTTTCGATGCACTTCTTCGCTTTCAAAGGTTTCGACCGTTATTTTTACACTTGCAAAAAAATAGGAGGAGAGAAAGAAATTCCCACGACGGAACGATCAGGTTTTGAATCATTCTTTGTCGAGGAAGACGCAATGTCTACAAGCCTTACGCGCGATTGCTTTCTCGTTAGCTTCGCCGGAGCCTCCAGAAGCGAGCTGTTAGTCGCCTTCTTTTTTTCGTTTTCAATCCCCGTTCCCCTCGTGTTACGCTCGCGAAACAGTTAACGATATTCAAACAAACCCTCCCGCGTCGAGAGCGGACACGGACGGGCCTCCAATCCAGACGATCCCGCGGATAAAAGTACCGAGGGGGCTGGTATCGGTGTCCATCCAAATAATAAACCCGACAATTGCGGGGAACGATAGAGAACAATTTTTGTTGATAGCTTCGGCATACTTTTTTCTGTCGATAGTTCCCCCGCGTTTGCTTTGTGCGTAGACAGTATTGGCAGATATTGTCCTCCAATAATCTGGAATCGCTAATACCTCTAGTATTCTGGATATTTCTAATTATTTTTTAGCTATAGAAGCGGTGAAAGGGGTACATTTTAATTAAAATATATAGTCTCTTTATTCGCTACTATAAAATCCAAGTTAAAGAATTTTTGTTTAAAGTCAAGAATTAAAAACACTTCCTCCTAATCAGAAAGATTTCAAAAATTATATAAGATTCATTTCCATTCGATGGATTTGAATTCTCACCCCGAAGCCATTTCCAACGTTGACCAAGAATTTCGAGCGTTTAAATCAACGCGAACCCTGTCTTTTCGTAGTCACGCCCCTCCGATGTTACTTTCCGTTGTGAAACGTATTACGTAAGACCCGGTAAAGGGAATTACGCTACGTTGACAGATGCAAACGGGATGAGACTGTCCCCTCGTGCTCGCAAACGAAGTCCATCGACTGTTAATCGCATAATCTAATATTTACACCCCCGTTGCACCTAGCCTGGTTGCAACCGCGGCTTACAACACGGTTTTTCCCCATCGCTCCTCCCTTCCGTCGCCGCCCTTTCATTCTCCGAGGAACAATTCCGATCCGTTTTCACGTGCTGCGTGGCCGCTACTTCTATCGTCTCCGGCTAGCGGGTCCTTTCGCAGGAAGCAGCTAGGAACAAAGCGGGGACGAACTCGTAGGACGGCAGGGGGTAAAGGTAATCCCTATTGTTTCTCCTGTCCCATAAATCCTACTAGCCGCGTCGCCTTCCCGCCTCCTGCGCTTCTCTCTGCTCCGAGCTCGCACTTCAGTTACCGACAACACACCCCCAACTATCTCCCCCCCTCCCCCCTCCCTCACCCCTCCCACCCTCCTGCTACAAACTCCCGCTATTCTCAATCCCCTTGCTACGCCTTTCTCGGCGGTGCGCTTCGTAAATCTCGGTCCAGCTGTGCTTTACGGCACACGCGTACTTCCTGGAAGAATACAAGTGATCCTATCTCTGATTCGGAAGGACATCAACCTTCCACGGGAATCGCTCCGAGAGGGTTCCGGGGTTTACGTACGATCCGTGCCTGGGACCTTTTCCGGGACTTCCTTGATGGGAGATTGCGCTCCTAGGCGATGGATATTTATCGAGGGGTGGGCTTTCTAATCGTTGCGAAACACAATTCAGTCGCTAAATCGTTTGATGTGTGGCGGGGATACTGCTGTAAGAAACAGAGAGCAAAATAGCAGGAGGAAAGCTAGTGGACTCGTAAATGAGGAGTGTATATGTGGGAATGGGAGGACGATCGAGTACCTGCGAGAGAGTTAAGAGCGTGGCCCCCTGGTGGCGAGTGTGGGAAGTGTCGTTACATATCGTTTTTACTCTGCCTGACAAGAAAATAAGAATCACTAAATCGTTTGATTTGTCGCGGTATGCTACTGTAGGAAGTAGAGTGTATATGTAGGAATGGGAGGACGATCGAGTACTTGCGGGAGACTTAAGAGCATAGCCCTCTGGTGGTGAATTCAGAAAGTGTCGTCACAGATTGTGTTTACTCTGCCAGACAAGAAAATAAGTATCACTCGATGCAAAATTTGATGTTTCAGCTACCAAGTCTCAATAATGCAAATAAACTATTTAAAAATTTCCAATAGAATCGCATGGTAGAACAAGAAAATAATTTTCACTCTGTTACCGGTACTAGAATGAAAAGAACTTTGATTTCTAACATTTAAATTGAATTGCATGATATTAAAATGCATGTTGAATTTGTATGTCCTTAAAAAGGATCGAAATTACGGTCGAATTACCATAATGTTTTCGAAGTCATTTTCTGCTCGGTTTGTGCCTCGAAATCTTGAATTCTAGAATGTAACTCTGGTTTTCTAGTGTATATGAACTGACTGTCTTTCAAAAATTCGTGGCGTCACCCTAAGTAATACACGGCGCTCCTACAATGTTGTTTACGATCCATAAAGATTTCAGAAGGGTACTTGAGACTTCTAACACGCAGAGGGGTTCGTTTCACCAGCAATATTGACTAAGGGCGACAACTAATTTATGACACTAATCTCTGTTGCTTTATCGTGCTCCTAGCATGTTCTTTTCTGTCGTGTATTCATGAAAAATATGTAATGATACTTTTAAACTTGTATTAGTTTCGATATTATATTTGCTTCATAGATATAAAAACGTGTAAGGTATTATTTTCTGTTAGATTTGTTAAATCTACTTTTCTCAAAATTGCGAGATAACTGAAACTCGAACCATTAAATTTTAATTTACATCTCAAAAACGAAGCTTCAAATTGAAAAATGCTACAGTACTTTTTGATTTCTATTAGTTTTTGGAATTCGCGAGTTTCAACTTATATGGCCATTGTGAGACCTATTTAGAACTATTTCAAGCTTTAATCGATATTGTTTGTGATAGCTTCGTTTAATACAGATTACAATTTCTGGATCGATAATTAGTATTTTGTTAAAAATTCAATAATAAACATGTCACTTGGTAAAGTGCATTAACCATATTGGGTTATTCACGAGCTCTAAATGGAACATTCGAGAACCGTTACGATAAAGAATTCAGTCAGCTAAATTTAAACCTGCAAACTTTGAATCTTAGGAGCATGTCATGTTCTGAGCAGATATGAAACATTGATAATTCTACCGTAGAAACAAGTCCATTTTTAGCGCGAATTAGACAGTAATACTGCCAATCTAACTACAAACCCGGTTTCCAACGAATAATAAAATTTTATGATTCCTTTTATAGAAGTATTAAATATTTTATATTTTATATTTTAGTACCTTCTAGGAATCCGACTCAATATTTTTACGCTTTTGACCTTTTGCTTTTGAATTTTCTTCAGAAACTTATAACTTAAAATCTAATATTAGATATTTAATATAGAATGACCTGGAAAACGTTTTTCTTGTACCATGACATAATATGAATTTTTATCTCAAGACTAGTGAACCTATATTGACATTCCAGTTTAAATATTACTAAAATATTTATAATTTTTAACAACATGAAAATAACTATAACGTTATCTGAATGTACGTTGTTACTATTTATAACAATAGTAATCCTAGGAGTATTCTGTCAAGAAAAATAAAGAAAACAACAAAACGTTAAGAAGAGCAAACCAAAGTCGAAAGATAAATAATTAATTGTATGCTTGTACGAACTAACTTCTTATTAATTCCATTATTCCGATTACCTATTCCAAAGTCTAAAATCTACTTCAAGCTAAATACATAGGGGTTAGTAAAAACGAAGATTATTTAATTACGTGAAATATATTTTCCTAAAGGCAGTCGATTCAAACTAAAAACGACAAATAATTATTTCTGAACCCAACAAATTCCCAAAACACGTGCCCGTGGATAACACGTTTTTATTGAAATTGCAGATCGAGGACGCCATGCTGATGTTCGACAAGCAGACCAACAGGCACAGAGGTGAGTGAAATTTCTGGATTTTCTCTTGTCCGGGATTCTACCCGCGATACAATAATTCGATACCGAGCCGGTAATGACTGTTTAATCACCGATGATCGTTAAAACGTGAGAGGAGTGCTGACGACGCGCAACCGCCGGCGAAATTTCGGTGCGCGCCGTTTCAATCCTCGGGACTTGGCCGCGCGCAAATATGTTGAAAATATGGTCGAGACTTTTCTGTTTAGCGAGTCAATAATGCCGGCCGTTTCGCTCGCGGAGATCGGAGATCGGGTAATTAACGAGCTGGCTTGAAACTATAATTAGTAATTACGGTAATACGCGACGCCAATGCGCCAACGTCGCTACAGCCAAAGATAAATAACATTAATTTGACGCCGCGATCAATCGGAGCGTTAATCACGACCGGTGATTGCGCGATTCAACGTTGTCCTGTGCTTCTCAGTATCTGCGTCTTTCTCCTTTTCGATGGAATTGCTCAGAGTGGGTTTCCAAGAAGGAGTCTTGTTCTAGTAACTTAGATATTTTCATTTATATCTCACGTTTCACAGCGAGTGATCAAATTATCGTGATTCCAGATTTTCACATACACGAAGAACAGAGTCAAATATATTGATTAAAACGAGACCTTTTTATCGTGAAAAGTAGAATTATGTTTTAAAATGTATTTAACGCTTTGACTACCGCGTCACCCAAATATGGGCGAGAGGATTTTAAATTTGAATAGGATTTGTGAATTTTAGTAAACTTACAAAAATAGGTTTAAAATCAAAATTTTAGTCTTGCTTAAAATTGTGTTATGGCATGAACGATAGTTTTGAGCTATATGCAGATCAACTACTCCGCTTGCATACGTTGTTCCCCAATTTTCCGAATCTCCTGATTCCAAGGAGAATAAGCTTTTCTTGTTAGACGTATGCAAGAGTACCCGCGGACGAAATTCAGAACGACTCTCGCATTTGCAAAGGAAAGAACTGAAATATGAGATGGAGGACGTGTTATGCTAATTTTATACGCACCGTTATCGATTCTAATCGAGGCAGGATGAATTCACGTTTTGATACTTTCCACGGGAATGGAATTCCTTTGGTCGTTTGTACACATACGCGTACGGTATGTAAATTCGCGTTCCGTTTCGATTCCTGGCACGCGTCGTTTCTTTTATACTTTATGTTAATCGCATCTGAATAAAAGCCCGTGTAATCGGCCACCGTGGTTGTCTATTGTTACGCGTGACGCGATCGGTTGAAATTCAAGGGTGTAGTTGGCAGCTCTTCGACGCCTATCTAGTCGACTGATAACGGTCGTGTCAAGAAATTTCTCTCATCCACGGCTCGCAGGAGCCAGCTTCCCTCGAGTATTATCGTTCGATCGCTCGAAAACGCGTTGGAAATTTCCCCATAGTCGTCGGACGCGCCTGTGTGTGCACAGTGACGAAACTCGAATCCCCGAAGACACTGCCGGCGCTGCTTACGTTGAACAATTATGCCATCTCTATTGGAAATTAACTGATCTCAGCTATTGTCGGCTCATCGACCAATAATAAGCCACGTCAAACTTGGATATCATAGGCATTGAATACTTTTAAACTCCCTGTATTTATTGGCAGGTTTATGGGGGAACTATTTCGACGAAATTTCAATAACTCTTGACCAATTAAATAGCTGCGTTTTATATATAATAGTATCTCAATGCTTAACGTAAATTATGTGACCTGAAAATGAACAGAATTACAGTGATATTTAACAAATTTTGAATTTTAGGGTTAAATATTCCGGTCAAATTAATTTCGAAAAGAAATAATATTTCAAGACAACCAACTTAAACAATATTTGGAATCAAATATTTTTTCTTCGACTTTTTATCATATTAAAGTATAACCACTTAATATAAAAATATTCTATAAGGTGTCGTGAAAAATGTATTAAAACTTAATGTAGACCTTATCACTAGAGTAGAGTGAAGTGCTTTAAAACATGGAACAACAATTGAAAGTAATAGAGTCTCGTGACGTAGGAACTGAAAGTTGTTCCAAAGAAATTTTCGAAATCCATTGAGAACTTATGCAAGCAAGAAAGTCCCTGTGGAACAACTTTGGAGGTAAACAAATGAAAAGCAAATTTTTCAAGCGTTGGTGCTTTACGTTCCTTTCTTTCTATCATGTGACCTCATAAAACGCAGGATATGATTATATTGTAAAAACAACAGGACATACCGTTAACAATTTTTACAATTACAATACAGTTTTTAAGCAATAAATACTTTCAATTCGTTGTTAACACTTTACTATCTAATGGAAATAATCCAAGCAATTAGACGTAAACGGGGTTTTAGGGAATTAAAATTTTCAGAAATGGCGACATATTAAACACCCTTACGATCGAGACCACATTGCGATGGTGAGAAAGTAGCATTCGTGCATGTAGAAATGTGTAAAAAGACAAATTTCAATATCGATTTACTCAGGAACCAAGCTACACGTGAAAAAATATGTCATTTTGTGTTTTCGGTGCATTTTCGTTTGCTCCCGGAATTTGGAAACGCCCTGTAGAAATATGGTTGCGTGAAAAGTCCGCGAAAGTCAAATAGAAGCGGTTACAGCGGCGCTTCGCGAAATGAGATCGTTCGATCGGAATCAGGCCCAGAAACGAGATATACCCGGCGTCGGGATGAATGAAATATCAGACTGCTAATGTAATATATACGCCAGTTCATCTCTCGTCTCCATCTACGGCGAGAAGGAGAGAGAGTGAGAGAAATACGAATTGCAAGGGTCTCGCCGTCGCGAGCCTGGATCCATTCACGTCGTTGCTTCAATGGGGTCGATAATCGTCAGCGATCGAGTTACCCCACCCGACCGATAATCGGGAGTCTCTCTATCTTTTTTAACGGTATCCTACCCCCTTCCTGCCCCTCTCTTCGATCCCCCTTCGGTTTCCATCCCTTCTGCTCTTCGGGTAGAGTGCCTGCCGGGTCTCAGTGATAGATTCTAATATCGCTTATGAAAAATAGGGGCAAATGGGATATGAAAGCTGGCTCCCTTCAATACCACAGGGGTTTCCCGCTGCCTCGAGGGGTGGAAAAAGGTGGGGTCGAGCCACAGGGTTTGCGGGGCGGGACGCAGGCGACGGGTAGATGTGTTGCGCGTCTCAGCAAACGGACGACAGCGAGGAAAGGAGTAGGTGAAATAGCGGTGTACCTCTGGCGAAGAAAGAGGAGAGAGACTGTGCTCGCAGGGGGGAAGAGGAAACGGGTAGAAGAAAGAGCGAATCGCCAAGGAACGAGAGAGACACGGCGGGCTCTTTCAAAGCGGCGCGTAATCTCTCTCGCGATGACATCCAATACCATCCCCCGTCGGACGAGTCTGCGAGCCTCAAACCTCGAACATCATTGCTCTCCGGCAGATTTCACAATATGGTACTTCCATAGCCGGTCTGTGACCCCTAAGGGGATTATTGTCGGATTTTCTGTGAACGAGCAACTTCGGCCGCAATCAACGAGACACCGATGGATCTTCTTACTCGCTGGTCACTGTTTCCTCGTCGCTCTTCCGTCGGCTATCGTGCACTCCAGCGTCTACCAGTTGCACCAGTGCAGCTCGAACGTTAAGTATTTAGGTGGTTCTCCTTTTACACTCGAATATTTACGTGTCGCCCACAGATCACTTACACAGAAGTCTAAAGTTGTTCTTAACGCACTATAGCCACACGACAAGACTTTGCGAAGCCATATTATTTAAATACGTGGAAATATGTGTCGTAGAGAAATGGTGTCTTCTAAATCTTATTAGCACTTCCGCAGCAAGCGTTTGAAAGAATAAACGTCAACTTTCAATCGATATACGCGTTTTCTGTAGCCCTGTCACGACGATGACGAAAGAAATAAACTTTAAAAAGTTTATGACTGCACTGTACATATTCGCTCTCATCAAATTTTGAGAATGTTCTAAAGCTTTTGCCTCCAAGTGTCCCCATCCTCCTATTTTACTAAAGCCACGCGCGGTACTTCCGTACTAGCCCTTTAGCAACGTTACTATCCCGAATTTCAACGCCTAACTACGCGGAAAATATTTCTGAGACTTTTGAGACTCGAAACTTTCGGAAAACGTAATGATTTCTTCGACTGAAATTGTCGGGGAACCCCCTGTAAATTGCTTCTTATTCTCCTCAGACGCGTAGAGTGCATCGAAGTAATAAGCTGAAAAGAAGAGTACGGCACCGTTCGCCAAGAATATTCCTCCTCGAGGTTACACGGAACCTTGGCGAGCGTGCCAGAAACGACAACCCCGAAAAGTAACTTCTTTACACCGAACCGAAGTGCAAAACGTATGTCGATTGGCGAATAAAGGGCGGATAGAGATCCTTTGCTGGAAAGAAGATCGTTCCTTTGATAGTCGGGAACGACGGGGGTAGATCGGTTCCTTCAAGGTCGTATGTCCCCTAACCCAGATTCGATTTCGATCTCGCGAGGATCGAGGCGGTGCCACGGGTAGCGCTGAACAACGATCGGGGAACGGGTCGTGGAATTACAAAGAGAGATCCTTGTCGATGTTCGAGGCGACCTCTTTACGTCCAAATCCCCGAAGAAGTTGCCTCCGTGAAAGAAGAATCCGAGCGTTTCCGGACAATTTCGAGTCCCGCAGCGAGCTATGATTTCCACGCGGATGGGCAAGCTGCAATTGCAGCAAAGCGCGTCTTCTCTCTAGCGTGGCTGCCGGCGAAGAGGCGCGACTATAGCTCGAGGCGCGATTATCCAAGCTTCGCTGGCCAAAGGATTTTCTCTTCGTGAGCTCCACCCTTACGCGGAGGCGTAGGAGAGGGAAGGGGTGCACCTATAAGGCTGTGCACAAGCCACGGGTCCGTAGCCTCGCACAGACACCACCGTCTATTTGCACACGTAGGCGGACGAGTCGCGCGTTTATATACTCCCGGGCGCATGTGTTTGCGCGTGTACCTTGTCATAAATTGCTGGCACATTGCTCCTGGATGGAACGTGTGTGTTCC